ACGTGGTAAATTTTGGCGATACAAAAAATCGGTTGGATAAACTAATACACTAGAGGTGACTAAGTCAAAAGAAAGAAAAATACGGGCTTCACTGAAATTCCAACAGTGCAGCGACAGCAAGCAGAAAATATATTTCCCGTAACTCCATACAAGGGCCACTAATCCCAAAACTGACGGGAACGTAAGGGTCCCAAATAAGACGACGATTCGGTTTCCCCCAAACAGACCAGTGACCACCGACACAAAGCTTTTTTCAGATCTAATTCTTAATCTATCCGAAACAGCCGTTCCAATCACCCAGTGAACAGCCCCAGCTATTCTGCCATTATGAAAGTCACTCCGAACACTCGTACGATTCAATTCAGAGCAATCGTGGATCGCGAATGACGCCCGACCTTTATCCCATGATATGCAAGGCCTTTAGGAAACGCATAAAACGCAATATTAACTACATGATCTTACGACTAATAACAACTAACCAATTGGATTATTTTCCACAAACGCCTTCTAATGACTCGAATTTTAATACCATTCAAAAACAAGACCACTTTCGGTAGACTTCATCAGTAGTATCCGTAAGAGGGGAACTACTGTGTGTACATAAATAGTAAACTACACGACGACGTATGCAGTAGTAATACTAGACATTTACAACCGATTAAATTGATGGAAACAAACATGTCAAGAAACAGGCGAAAATTAACTTGCCAATTTTGTCAGAAGTTTCCGGCCCCGTAATTCCACGTTGTTCGTCGAAGAAGTCTTGCCGCTGAGCTCTACTGCGTTCAATGAGAGCTGCAGCGTCTGCCGCAGCTTGAGCGGCGGCAACCGCCGTTTCTCTAGCTCGTCTTAAGACTGCCATAGCAGCTGCCGGAGGTACAAAACGCCGAGATGCAGACTGACGGAAACGCGATGCTCGGCTAGCTCGGGAAACAGCACGAGGTCTGATCATGGAAGCTGCTATACGCCTCCGCTTACGTGGCTTAGAGCGCCTTTTTTTCGGTGCTGTAGTTTCCATTTTGATATTATCGTCTGCAAAATAATGGGAAATTGTATGCACGAAGTTGGGGAAACTAAAGCACAACGCAATAATAAGTTTAAAGAATAATCTTCAATTGCAACTCACGTCATCAAAGCAGTATGATCACCGATGGGAAAGAAATCACCATAGACCTAATTCCTATCGCGCACTCACAAGGGGACTCCAGACCGTAATTTGAATGCGCGTTACTAACTGATGGTAAATAACATTTTTTATCGCAGATACCCGGAAAGCAGTAAAACCGGCCAAGCAGAGATAGCTCGAGATAAGTTACTCGTCGACCATCAATAAGAGCCAATCATAATGTCCGCAGTAGGACCCTTTGTAGCTCGACCCCGCAGTGATTACTGCTAGACCTTATTGTGCAGTGACCATTTGGCATTTTCAACTTTCTCAAGGAAATGGCCAGCCATCACCAACACCAATTCAAGTTGTCAGATCCAATGTCCAGTCGGCTGGCGCGTATCACATTCAATACTACAGAGATGGGCAATTATATGGGCCATGAAAAATCCCCCAAACACAAGTCGCAGAACAGCTGAATACTAGTGGTGTCGTGCATTCAAGTTGGAAATGGAAACAATTCATCTCACAGTACTTTCTATTTAAGAAACAGACATTGCGATATAAGGGCTTGCACAGGATTTTATATCGCATTAGATTCTCAAACACTACCCAGTCAGTGCGAGCAATACTGGCGCCCTGGTCAGCAGACGCTGACTAGTTTGTTTATACGCTCTGGAGAACAAACATAAGTTGCGTCTCATGGTGGTGACCCGTAGGCAGCAAACACCTAACACAAACGTAAGCATCAACGCATAGCCAAATATATGGTATGCCAGTCGAACGCCACTAACACTATCAATCTTCATAATGACTTCTCGGCTAGCAGAAAAACAGCAACAGTGATGATGACAGCTAACACTCATTGGCAAATGCGTTGTCCGTAAAGTGCATGCATCCAGATGTCGACTGGCCGGGTTAAAACAGGAACCCAAGAAATTAGGTCCCACTTTTTACCTCCAATTTAGAAGTACTAACGGTTGTGGCAGTTAAGTAGCGACGTAAACCAGATGCAATGCTGGTGCCGACAATGAGCACATCATTGCTCAAATTAGGGCATGAAATTCGACCTACGAGTATGTGGGGCAATAGCGTTAATCGCTGCGCCGATAATCCCACGTTCATGCACTCCTGAATTAGAACATAAAAACTGCCGTGGCAGACTGCGAGTAATGCTTAAGATACGCGATTGCTGGCGATAAACTGTGCGAAAATAACGCCCATTTTCCTCTCGAGATGATAGTCTACATATATTACACCTATCCATTATATACTTCCTCACATCAGTCTCATCTACTATTAACCACCACACAAATATGAGGAAGAAAGCGAGCAGTACACAAGAAATGAAAAGCGGAGGGGGAGCTAACAACCAGATGCGACTACTTCTAAAATCAAACACCAAACACAAGACACCACGCAAGCAAACATCTCAGCGACGACCAGAACTAGGACGTCATTCGACTTCCGATGTCCCACATCATTAAGTACATTTACACACAACGACACACGTCGCTGAACTCGATCGACCGCCAATCTAGTCTCCAGCCACTGACTCTGAGTCACGAAGGCCCCAGCCCGGGAGACGAATCTGACCCAGCGAGTAACCCTTTGGTTTCCCTACGTTAACTCATCCAGCTATTTCGCACCTTACACCAGTCGCCTGTGGTATCGATAAAACTCGCTTGGTATCGAAGACGACCAGCTGGCATCCTTAATACATGGGCTAACCATAGGAATTTGTGTAAATATAAAAATTGGGAAAGGAACCCGCTCAGCGCTCTACAAAATACTTGCTTCACAACCACCTTGCTGCTCACCTGTTAGCGCCACCCGAGCGATCGAACGCAGACATTGATGATGTATCTGAAGACGGTTCAGGTCTTCTGCTCTGAGCGGCTAAGTTTTGCAGCCATAAAGCAGTACGTCCTCAACAATCGCCTGTTACTCGTGAGAGATGCCTCTCTGTCGACAGAAACGTCGGAAACCGACGAGTACCATCCCTAGTCTTAAAAAATCAGCCTCTATCGTATTTTCTACACCTCAGCCGTTGCTGATGCAACTTTTTAAGTACACAAACCACAATTTCGATATCTAACACAATATCTACGTAATCACAGTAATCCTGCAGCAACGTTGAGACTACAAGGTATTTAGCAGAACGCAAAACAGCGTACAACACGGTTTGTGACGTTTGGAAAGTAAGGAACAATACCTCGTCGTCAGCATGATCAAGATCAGTCAGCCTTCCACTAAATTGGAGGTGCATATCGGCATCTTGTGAGTGTCGCACACAACTCCTCAATACTTCGATTATGACAAGTCAAACGAACATGATGGATTGAGACGGCCTTGGGGCACGCCACCTTCGGTGCCAAAATTGTCATGTCATCGTAGACCTCAATCTGAGCTTAATTAAGTTAACGAGGCGCCAATAGTACGTTCACATATTTGCTCCGCACATCCCTGCGTTTAAGTCGACCCACTGAATTAAACGCACCTTTATGTACAACAGCTATGGTAATAATTAGCTAGTGGTACACATGACATCGATCCAGGATTGAGCGAATTGCGAAAATTTGGGCACTACATCCTTGAGCAGAAAAATACCCTACTTGATATTTGCCTTCCGGACTGTAGTGAGTCGACGAAGCATAATGGATCTCTCTACGGTTTTTGCCAGGATCCCTGATCCTCTTCTTGAACATGGGGAGAACGATCTAGCAAGGTAATGTTCTGCGTCGTATACACCGGTTGAAACCAGTGAATCAAGGTATCCACTAGCGTCTCTTCGCCTTAGAAAGTGCCCACATAAAATCATTTGAGCCAGACGTCCCATTACGATTAGAAGCCGGAATACGATGGCGGACCTCAGTCTTGATGGGTGGTCCTAAACCTATTCACCGGGACACGACACTACACGTCTGCGACGGCAACACAACAGACAGGAGACCAGCTAACGTGTGCTCAATTCGACGTCCTGACCTCCAAAACTGTTAGGAGGCGCATCTCCTAACGAAACAGCCAGGACGCATCACACCACGTCGATCGGCTGGCCCAGCTCGGATGATATGGTCGTGGGTGGTGGTATGGTTCCACTTAGTCAGTCAGATTTCAGGTGTGCCGTCGAACTCTTGTGTGCTATCTGGATTGTTTTCTCACGTTGCTTTCTGATGCCACCTGTAGCGTGATTTGCTCTGACACCCTGATTGTCATATGTGACTGTTTTAAATGATTCGCTGTTTGTCAGTCATTTATGGTAATCGTTTCATCCTATAACTGTAGAGCCTCTGCGGTCTGATTTTGCCTCGCCCTTTCAATGAACGGTGTTGACGCGTCTCTTCTCATTTCTCAATTTTGGGTCAAACGACTGACGGCGTAATAAAGGCGACGTTTCAATACAGATCTAATACGGAGGTATCATCTGTCTGGTTGATAACCTCAAACTGAAGCTCTAAGCCAGTAGTATAGATAAGCCTGAAGAGCCCGTTGAAGCTCCTTACAGCAAAGGAGATTTGCGTTTCACTAACCTTCTCCTTAAGACAAGCCACACGATTAACGATCACGCTGACCCACCTTCGTACGAATATTTATCCTGAATGTCATGTAAACAGCCCGGAGGAATATTACAGCTGACAACTCCAGAGACTTCCCTGTGAACCATCGTGTTGCATACTATGGTGCGAGATGCTGGTCTGAGGGCTGTTGAGATCTTGCGGGTTTAAACTGCCGAGCGTGCATTCTAACCTAGTTTATTGCACATATCCTAACGCCGGCCTGAGCAGTTTCTTGACGATTAGACGTTCCGATTGGTGGGCTTGTCCAGCAAAAGTAGAAACTAATGAGTAGTTTGGCAGATTAATGATTTTAGATGAGACCCAACTGTGAAAAGTCAAGGCTTTGGCTGGATTCGAATCAGCGGCAGAAACCCCATGCCTTTACGCGGCAAGCGCTCTACTAGCTGAGCTACGAAGCCACGCCAGGAGCTCGGAAATTTCACATTTGGATTCGGTTACCCACCCGTCCCACCATCTCATATGGAATCCACCAAATGACCCAGGGGATCGACTGCCCCGGCAGGATTTTTCGAACAGTTCACGCTGGAGTCCACCAACGCCATTGTTGAGCATAGAAATTGTATTACTAATGAGTAGTTTGGCAGATTAATGATTTTAGATGAGACCCAACTGTGAAAAGTCAGGGCTTAGGCTGGATTCGAACCAGCGACAGAAACACCATGCCTCTACGCGGCAAGAGCATGACCTGGATCCAAATACATGCTTCAATAATAACAACAGTCCTGATCGCATCCACGCTATTTATTACTAACGACCACATGGTTTATAAGTAATCAGGACTGGTTCGGAGGTGCCAAGTATAAGGAGGACGCGTATGATGTCTAAAGCTACAGGTGGCCAAAGATAGCATGTGCTTGGTGCAACGTTGACAGCCGCTCAGCATTATCCGAGCGATTGAATGCCAATCCACTAACCTCCCAAGCGAGATTCGACTTTACCAAGGCGACCGAGCTAGACGTTCATGTCTACGGCTAAAAACTGTTAGAACTAGAGTAACCGTATCTTAGTAAAAAGACGTCTGACACTAACGGCATTACCCTCCCCCAATTGAATCAAGACGATTGATCATTGAAGTGGGTTTCCCCGATAGAATTCAGACGCAACCACGGAGGATTCATAATTGCACGACCTGCCCGTAATTTGCTGCAGATGAATATCGCTCGGTAAACCTAGGCAAGGAGGTCGGTGGTGCGTTATGATATCAAACCTTAAGGTCAATTCCGTTCGAACTGTGTGGTCAGAACCAAGCTGCCGTTTATGACGTGAACATATGGCTATCTCACTAACGTGAGAAAGTTTCCATGTGAAACCGATCCAAGACGCAACCCACACGATCATCGACCCCGTGCAACGTACGTTATTATGTCCTAGACGTGAAAACAAGCATGACGAACCGTTATCATAAACAATCAATAACAGTACACCAGGATTCGATGCGAACGGCTTACTGTTGCACAGTTAAGCCACTTCGCCGTTGTCCCCGCTAGTTAGGTTGGAATTTTTTGCTACATGACCAAACTGGAACTTGGGTGTATTAGTTCATAGAACCAACTGCCGGTAGACAGTGCGCTGGTGGACAAAAAGAACACGCAGTTAGCACAGTTCGATCAGAACGGATGCAAAATGTACAACCCTAATTCAAGCTAACCTCTTACATGTTCCTCAGTTAGTACCGGTCTCTCGCCTGAAAAGGTCCACAAGATCCAAAACTTTTAATGTAAACACGCTGATAGACAGAGGAGCAAAAATAGTTGACAACCGATGAGAATACGAGAAATAGATTGAAGAACGATTTTATGAAGAAACTGGACGAGAAAGTACGCGTGTGGAGACAGGTTACCCGCTGGGGAGTCGTGATTCTTTTCAGTCACGCCGTCAGTGCATGTTAGATGCTTAGCAGAATAACATTTGTAACCAGTACTGTACGGCGAAAAACATCGTGCAATTCTAGATGGTCATTTCCCGTTCACCTCCGAAGCGAGTCACAGAATCAAAAGAGATGCAAGAGTTAACTCGAATCTGGCCAAACGGACAGCATTTGTATCAATCAGATCAGCCTGTTGGAACTAGTACAACAGATTATTACCCAGTCTGTAGTCACTATCGAAAACCAACCGACAATGAAAAGCAAGGACTAAGCGCGTTAACCCTCGTGTATTTGTATCGACCCTGGAAAATAAAGTGTACAGAGAAAGCACGTCAAGCTAGCGGGGCACGGAGCGAGTTGTGATTGTAGCCCCGGGACGGATATTACAAATGGAATAGCTTGACTAAAACAAAAGTAGGCAAAAAGCCAAAATCATCAAAAATGTACAAGTGAATGCGACTATCAAAAATATCATTTACTATAGTCGCTACAAGCCCCGTTTAAAGCACATACTGATAACTTTGGAACACCGAGTTCTTTCCAACCGTTTCATCGAGGCAGTAAGATGACATGGAGAAATGTTGACATTTTGCTTACTCTTTTGCGTTTTGCGAAGCAACGTTTATTCAAAATTACCAGCTGACGTCATGGGCACAAAAATGGTTGAGGCAACCTACCAGGTTACCATGGTCGCGATTACATAATACTTGATGTGCCTCTAGACGTACCTAGTCCCTGTTTGTCCTTATCTGTATGGCGTATATGACGGGCATGGTTCACGTTTGAGACTGATGGGAATTAACGAAATGTTAGCATACCGCTGTCTTTTTCCTGCCCTGATGCCACCGCACACGGTTGAGTGCATAGGCTGTACAGAGACAAAGGTTGAAAAGGAATGACTACAAGGAGCCTTCCAATCGTGATTGCCTAACTAACAGTAAGCATCGTCGTGACAATCCGAACAGCGTGCAAGAAACTGAGGAACGGCAACATTCTGTGGATGTCAGTTTCTGATACAAGGTCAAAGTAGTTATCAACGTACAGTATACACTCGGCATAATGAAGGCTTACGGTTGGTCAGTGTTGACTGCACGCGGGCGACCGCGGCTGTAGCCGCGATGCACCGATTATGTATACAGTTGTCCAACCGTCTACTGGTTGGTGTTCATATGAGCACCAACCAGTAGACGGTTGGACAACTGATCGTAATGCATAAGTTTGTCGGACAAAGCAAGCAAACAAGTTGAGCATCCAATTATTAACCAAAAACAGGATGCTAATCACTCGAAAATAGCACAACTGTGCAATTAGTTGCGGGACCGTTAGGTCGAATACAAGACTTGTAGGACAAAAAAGTGCCGCGCGACAAGAATAACGGAACAAGAAGGGTTGCGCCGAAACTTTAGATGAAAAGGAGAAAGAGGGGGAAATGATTGAAGGTAAAACCTAGCACACCCACCTAGACTCATATCAACCTTACCGCTCCCCGACCCTTGCGCCGCCATTCCCCACACGGAAACAATCCCTGACCTTGAATCACACGGCGCATCAAAACAATCACAATTTCATGTAGTTCCATTTAATTTTACAGATTTCAGTGATTTGTTCACGGGTTCGATGTTGGAGGCCCGATTCAGCGATTCAGCGATTGATACACGGGTTCGAGGCAGAG